CTGTCTGCCTGGTGGCATAAATCGTATTAATCGTCAAGTGACAAAAAATAATCGATTAATGTTTTTCTGACGATTAATTGCACACGATACGATTACGCCCAACCCTACACTTGGGTTGTTACTGACATCTGGTGAAAATTTCATGTCATTAGCACCTCTAGTAATATATTTACTGAGAAAAATGTTGACATGTTCAATACTTATTTTACCCGCTGTAAATAATCCAAAAATACACTGCAGGCCAAAAACACGGTGTCCTCCTGGATTTAACTAAGGTCTATGATGTGAGGTTGCTGCAGGTGGTCAGGTTCAGGTTCAGCAACAGTCTGTGCTCAAAGAGTGATGTCAGCTGACTACCTGAATATACTGAATGACCAGGTTATTCCATCAATGTAGGGCTGCGCGGTATATGTGATAGACGATAGAAACTAGGGTTGGGCATAATCGTATCGTGTGCAATTAATCGTCAGAAAAACATTAATCGATTATTTTTTGGCACTTGACGATTAATACGATTAATGCCACCAGGCAGACTGACTGATTTCCTCGGTCAGTCCGCTCGGTGCTCCTCTCCGCTTCAAATATGACGAACATTTAAACAAAAGTTCTGTAATTTATTTATCTATCAACACAATTTAAAATTTGATGTATAGCCTGAAGTCTGATTTTGACACAATTTGGTAAAGATTTTTTTACAAAGAGCAAATCTTTCCCACTAAATAGGTCATGTGACTAGGACAYAAGGGCATCCAGGGACTCCAGAGGATTAATCGTCAAATTAATCGTTGTCGGCTAAACACCACAATTAATTGTGATTAATTCTTTTGCCAATATCGCCCAACCCTAGTAGAAACTGTAYGAAATTGACCTACAGTAGAAATTTACCCTCTACGTCCTATCGTCATTACGTCATCGCACCTGTGTGAACATGGCTGTGAGAGCAGAGACAACTGAGCAGGAGGAGTTTGAAATATAATGAAGAAATTACAGCGTTTTAAAACACATATAGAGAGAATAAATCCTCAATATTTCCCCCTCCCGCTGTAGAAAAGTTACATCCGGATCATTTCCGCCCTCCTCCCACCCGCTGCACGTCACGCAGAGTGAAGCTTTAACAACCGTAGTTTTTTTCACACCTAAGTTGTTGGAGAAAAAACTTGTTTTTTATGTATTGTTACCCACAGAGATGATAAAAAAAATTAAAAAGACGTGGACGTTTGTTCAGTCATAAATCCATCTTGCTAATGTAACAGTCGGCTTCTGCTCTGATGATGAAAATGATGAAGATGAGAGTGCAGCAGCGGGTCTGTTCGTCAGGCAGAAGCTCATGTATGGCAGGCAGATGTTACATTTATTTGGCTTCACCACACTTACGTTCCAGTTATCTGATATAGTTTTATGACAAAACTATGTGCAGCTTAAGATCCTGTCACACTATAACATTTTAGTCAACTTATGCCAACTTAGAATTGTTTTTATGTCTAAATGACTAATTTTACTTGAAGTTCTGGTTATAACATCCACTTTATTTTGATATTGTTGAAAATTTGAGAAATGTTTTTGTTGTTGAAACCATTTT